GCTTTTTCATTCATTCATTCACTTATTCATTCATTCATTTATTCTCAACTTACAAAATCCAGTGGTTAAAGAAATAACTGGGAAACTGGCCCAACCCAGGGAGCCCTTTTCCCTGGGCAGAAACCAAGGACTCTGCTCTTAGAGAGGCAGAGTGGGGCCAGATTGGCAAGGCAGCAGCATCCAGGCAGGGAAATGACTGTCAACCCTATCAGCTGAACTGAAGCCGTTACAAGGCATTCTGACAAGGGAGAAACAAGTCTCACATAGCTTCAGACTTTCCTGGAAAGGGAAGCTTCTTATAACCAAGTTTTCAGTTGGGAAGAAAAAAAAATGTTGGAGAATCAATGAATGTGGCTCCTTAACAAAGACTCAGGATAACTCAGTTTTCTTTCTGTACTTGTTAAACATGTTTTCTTTTTCTTTTTGCTTTAAATAAGGGAGATGAATAGCATACTCTCATCCCAGCATTCCTTCAAAAAGGATCATAGGAAGCTTGGGTTTAAATCCCACTTTTGACAGATCCAAGAGTGAGGGAGCTTCCTTTGGCTGAAGTCCTTCCTTTGAAGTCTTCCCAGTGTGCTATAGTCAACCCAGAGTTTTGGAAGGTTGTGCCAACAAGTGTGCATGTTCTTGTGGGTTCTACCCAAGAAGAAAGGCTTTGAGGAAGGGCCTAGTCATGTGTTTCACACTGTGGGCAGCCCAGCTAAGCATGGAAAGAATCTTTGCTAGGGGTTAGCTAATCACCAGGCGAAATATTCTTTTTTTTCCTCTAATAATTCCATAATTGACAAAGACCACCTATGGATATGGGTAAAAGACTAATAAAATAGAGCATGACAGAGACTGATAAATGCGTGGATCTTTTTGGCAATCTGATGAAGTCTACGGATCCTATTTCAGAATAACACTTTCAAATGTATAAAATAAAATACACAAGATTACAAAGGACACCAATTATATTGAAATATAGTTATCAAAATATTTTTTAAAAACACAAGTTTGTGATATAGTAATATATTCAGTGATGGGTCTAATCACTAATTTCAAAGCAGCAATGAGTAGGGACATAATTTCAAGATGTCTGTAACACCTGTAATGGTTATGCAAATATCTGGGTCTACTGACCCCAGGTTAAGAATATCTGTACTGAAGCATGGAAGGAAGACCCACACAAGTAAAAACAAATTCATTACTCTTTACAATCAAAGGGCATAAGAGGAGAACCTAATAGGGCTTAGCTACTACTTCAGGGAAGAAAAGAGAAATTCACAGGAGGCAATCTGGTATAGTGAAGAGACTAGTATTGGCACTAGACTTGATGGGGCACCTAGGGGGCCCAGTGGATGAAGCACCAATCCTGGAGGCAGAGGACCTGAGTTCATATCTGACCTCAGATACTTAGTAGCTGTGACCCTAGGCAAGTCACTTAACCCTGATAGCCTTAAAGAAAAAAAAAGGAAAAGAAAAGAAAAAAAGACTTGGATTCAACTCCCACATTGGGTATCTACTACCTGTTTCCTGATCTAGATGTAAAATAAGGCAGTTGACCTAGATGGACTCTGAGATCCATTCTTGCTTTCGGTCTTTGACCTTAAATTTAAAAAAAAATGGTATGGGTTATTATTTTCTAATACATTTTAAGTCTGAAAAAATATTTTACTTGGAACAACCCAATATTTTTACCACATTTTATAACTGAAGAAAATGAGGCTCAGATAGTAACTTGCCCAGCGCTGCACTGTGAGTGTCTGAATCAGCTAAGAACAGCCCAGGGACAGGTTTTAAAAATTGCAGCTGGCTCCACTGAGGGTGACTGTGACTCTGAGAGGCATTCTATAAATGGGAAGTTGGGTTTTGGAGTCCTGGCTCCCTGTTCAGTTGTCATTCAGTCATTTTTCAGCTGTGTCGGGTTCTTCTTGACCCCATCTGGGGTTTTCTTGGCAAAGATACTGGAGTGGTTTGCCATTTCCTTCTCCAGCTCATTTTATAGATGAGAAAACTGAGGCAAACAGGGTGAAATGACTTGCCCAGAGTCATATGGGTCATAAGAGTAAGGCCAGATTTGAACTCAGGAAGATGAATCTTCCTGGCTCCAGGTCCAGCACCCTATCCCCTGCAACACCTGGCTGCCTCCTTCCTATGGAAGTCCAAACACCTTAGGCAGGCATCCAACTTTCTTTTTCAGCCTTATCTCCCCCACTGCTCTCTTCCTGTTACCCCTACGTTTCAGCCTTCCCAGAATGCTCACTGAATTACATTTTCATACTGGTGTGCCTTTGTTCATGCCTGGAATATACTCAAACCTCCCCCAACCTCCAATGTAAAACTGGTGAAATGCAATCCGTTCTCCAAGGCCCATTGCTTTTTCTTCACAAAACTTTCCCTGATATCCTGGGCCAAAATCTCCCACTCTTCTGAACTCTTACAAAGTTTGCCTTGTACTCGTCTTTTGCATAAATCACCATTTACATAAAGCCTTTTTTGATCCCCCTAAATGCTAGTGCTTTCTCCTAATATAACGTTACATTAATTTTGCATATGCTTATACAGGTACATGTTGGCTCCTTTGACAGAATGTAAGTTTCTTAAAAGTAAAAACTTTTATTTTTGTATCCCCCATGCCTGGCACATAGAAAACTGCTTAATGCTGCTTACTGATTGATTATCACACTTTACTACTTATTATATTTATTTTTCTTCCTCTCTCTCCTTATCCCTTTCTATAACCTCCTTTCTAAATGCTTCCCAGCCCACACCAGAGACCACAGTCTTACTCACCTGACTGCCTCTCCCAAAATACTATTCCAGGAAGGCCCCAGACATGCTTCACTTCCCTTTCTGCTCTCTGGGCACCTCTTCCATTGAAACAACCCCCTCACCTACAACCCTGAAGACAAGTGCCCATCCCCAGTGTCCTCCAGTTCTGGACCAGAATTTGTAATCAAACCGCCTCTCATTCATTGCTCCTTGAAGGAGTATGTCAATAGATCCCACTAGGCCCCCACCCACCATCCCTATAACTTTCTGAACCAAGGCTTCTCCCTTTGACCACCACTCCCCTATGCGTGTGTCTCCCCCAACAGAACATATTTATATTCCTGGCATAGTAAGAAGTTAACAAATGGTTTTCCGTTCCTTCATTCTTCCCAGTTAGACTTTAAGCTGCCTAAGAACAAGGACTTGGTTTCAGTCATCCTTCCAATCCTCTGAAAACCATTGTTCCAGGGTGCTTGATAAACACCAACCAAATCCTTCTTACCGGAAGATCAGGGAAAAACTGATGACAGAAGGACCAGGCAATTGGTCCCCAACCAAAGCTGTGCCATGATTCTCCCGTGCTATTTTCTTCCACTTATGTCCCAACCTATCCTGCCTTTACCTTATGGGGCACTAATGGATACTGGTCTCCACCAAGGTTTCATAAGGGTCACAGAATACAAGAATTGGAAGAGAGCTCAAGGGTCATCTAGTCCACACCACATATGATCAAGGACCCTTCTACATCTTCCCCAACACTAGGCTGCCTAGCCTCTGCCTGGAGAAAGAGGGGGAGGGTATCCATAGGCCTGCTGGGCCTAAGCCTACTGGCACACTGTTTGGCTAGAGTGGACATAAGACAACAATATGCGTCATGTGTTCTTATCTTTTGACAATTTTCATGCTAATTTCCCAGGTATCATCTCACTAGGTTGCTATAATGAAAGGGGTACCAGCTTTAGAAGCAGTCGCTCCATAAATGACACAAAATTATAAAATGGAAAGGGATCTGAAGGGTGGATTAGTCTAACGCCTTTAATTTACAGGGCAGGAAACCAATTCAGTTTTCGCTGTGACTCACATGGACTCGGAGGCCTATTCTTCCTTTGGATCAATGACCCTAAGTTTTTATTTTAAAAAAGGTGCGAGCTAATATTTTCTTGGAGTATTTTAAGTCTGACAAAACATTGTACTTAGAGTAACTCCATATTTTTATCCCATTTTAAAGTTTAGGAAAATGAGGCTCAGAAAGTGATTCACAGATTCTATAAGTTCACAAAGAGTGAATGTGATGGGCCCTCATGCTATATTTCCCAAGCAGTCAAGCTTATGTGCTACCTGCAAACCTCCAAGATAACTAATGGTGCCCCAATGCTTTTATAAGGAGAACACGCCACCTAAATCTGAGGTATCCAACTTTTTTTTACTTCCCACATCCCTTAGCTTTTAGTAAATACTCCTATATCCCCAATTCAAAATGTGAGAAAATAAATTCTATAATTTACTATGCATTTGCACATAAGAAATAAGATAAGGAGATCAATTAATTTCAATAGGAAAATACAGTTATTTACCAAATATTTCCTAGGTCTCTTTATAGAAGCTTCTCAAATCCTCTGGGGGTATCCATAATCCTATAATGGGAACCCTTGACCTAAATCTCCTGAAATTCTGATGTGGACCACAAAGAAGTGGTGATTTGGATCTTGAATGAATGACCCAGAACAATAGAAATATTAAGAGATCATAGAAAAGTCTGTAGCTGCAATCTGGGCCACAGCTTAGGAGAAACTGGGCAACACCAGGAGAGAGAAGGAGAGCAATACCATATACTAGGCTGTTCGTCCTCTGCTTCCCACTTTTCTCCAGAAACTCTGGCTGATTTCTTCATCAAACTGCTGGCACGAGGAAAAGAGGCCTCTGGCAAACAGGTCCCCGAACTCCAAGATGCTGTGACAATGCCTGTGTGACTTTAATCAAGTCACAAGCAACCTTTTTGTTCATCAGTTTATCTCTAAAATGAAGGCGTTCTCTAATCAATCAAGTACCTATTAAGAGTCTACTATGTGCTGGGGAGGCAAGTGCAAATAATGAACCATCCCTTCTTGTGAGAAGCTTACATGCTGGAGAGGGGAGACTGAGGGGTCTTGGGGCCTTCAGCTCTAAAACCTATGATCCTAATATTAAGGGAGGAGCTCTGGATTGCCCTTCATCACAAAGGGAAGACAGATTGTGACACTCACGGCATTCCTTCTCATCGCTCTCATCAAAGCAGTCTGGTAGCCCATCACACTGCCAGGCCCCAGGGATGCAACGTCCATTGGTGCACATGAAGTTTCCTGGAATGTTACACTCGTTGGTGGAGTTATTCCCAGGCAACAGCTGGCTCTCTGTAGGAGGGGAAAGAGAGAAGAGACTTTTTAAAAGAGAGCGAGAAAGGGGGGGGGAGGGAGAGAAGAAAGGAGAGAAGGAGGGAGAGGGGGGAGAGAGAGAAAGAGAAAAAAGGGAAGGAGAGAGAGAGAGAACCCTATGCCATTTAAACCTGCTGATCTTCATTTATGAGGCACATTAATTCCATTCTGTAGGAGGCATTAGTGAAAAATCAACATTGTTTTTTTTTAAACAGCCATCATGAGTAGCTGATACTAGGCAGATTCCTGATGCCTAAAGATGGCTGATCACTTTACAGCTCTTTAATATGTACAAAGACCATAACATACATTCATTACATTAGATCCTAACAATGAAAACTTAAGGTGAGCACTAGAGTATTTTTCCCATTTCACAAAACTGAGGCAAAGAGATGGGAAGTGACTAGAATTTAACTATTAAATGTCAGAGCTGTGATTTGAACATCAAACCAATCCAAGCATTTATTAAGCCCCTACTGTGTTCAAGATACTACGTGAACAAGCATTTATTAAGCACTCACTGGGTTCAAAACACTGTGCTAGTCACTGGAAATACAGATAAAACAAAAAAAGGCCCTGTCCTCGAGGTGCCTACATTTGAATGGAGGAGGGAGGGGACGTGACAGAAAAATGGATAATCAAATACGTGGCAATAGAAGTTACAAGGATCGGAGAGGGATTTCTGAAGGACGTGGTGTTTGAGCTAAGCCTTGAGGGACAGTAGGGATGCTAAGAAGCAGAGGTACCTAGAAAGGCCGTCTGGGGCTAGATCGTGAAGGCCTTTGAATGTCAAGTTTAGATTGATGCCAACTGCAAGTCCAGAATTCTTTAGCCACTACCCTACTGCTCTCATGTACTCACACTTATGGATAGTGACCTCTGTCTGCTCCTGAACTGCCTCAGAAGTTATGACTCCCAGACCAAGAGGACTGGAAGGACCCTCGCTGTCATATGGTTCAACCTTGACCTGAAGTAGGACTTCTTTTACAAGGTCCCGGACTAGTGGGCACTCACCCTCTGCTTGAACATTTTTGATGCCAGCACACTCACTACTTCATGAGGCAAGCAGTCCATTTCATGATAGGATAGCTCCAACTGTTGGCTGTTGTTTCACATGATTCTTCAAGGTTTTCAAATCACATTACATACATAATCTTATCTGGTCCCCCTGTGAGGTTAGTAATATTATTGTTCTCATTTTACAGATGAGAAGATCAAGGCAGATGGAGGTTAAGTGACTTGCCCAGGGCCATACAGCCAGTAGTGCCTAAGGTGGGATGTGGACGCAGGTCTTATTGGCTCTGAGTCTGGCACTTGAAGCACTACATCATGGTGCCTGTCTCCTTGGTAGGCTTTTGGCCCACCTCCCAAAGAAGTACCTTTAGCTCAGACTCTTCCCTTGCCATCCAGACTTCCAAATAAGAGGCAACCCTTCTTATTCCTCACCTGCTGCATCCCTCCCATCCCTCCCCACTGCCAAAACCAGATAACCAAATCTAACAAAATACTCTCAATTAGTTCGTCAGCTTCCAATATCCTGAGAGACTAGTGGCAAAAAGGCAAGTCTAGTAAGTTCATTCCAACATTCTAAATGCTGGTGGGATAAATATAGACCAAGTCAGAATTTAAAAATAAATCTAGTAGTCACAATGGGAGACGTTTGTTCATATCATCAAACCAATAGCCAAGGGGCTATTAAGGGACTCTCTCTCTCTCTCTCTCTCTCTCTCTCTCTCTCTCACACTCTCTCTCACTCACTCACTCTCTCTCTCACTCTCTCTCTCTCCCCACCCCTAACCAAGGCAAGAAAGAGGCATGTTCAGATCTAGAATGAGCAGTAATCACATGCCATTATTCCATCTTCTAGCCTTGAGACCATGTAACTGGCCATTGGATTTCTACAGCCCCGTTGGACACAGATAAGGGACTAATAAATCAGAGTACGGATTCTTCACCTATTCTGTGTCATGGACACCCCCTGTTAGGGAGTCTGGTAAAGCCTGTAGAACTTCTCTGAAAAATGTTTTTAAATACACAATTTAAAAAAAAATAGGATGACAAAGAAAACCAATTATATTGAAATATAATGGTCAAAATATTTTTCAAAAACTTTGTGGACCCCAGGTTAAGAAATCTTGAATTAGATGACATCATAGTTAGGTCACACTTTCTCTTTCTCTAATTACCTTACATATATCTATGGGTTTATTCTGTATATCCACCCCCTTCACCTGTAGTCAGGAAAACTTAGATTCAAAACTTGCTTCTTACATTTACAAACTGTGTGAAGCTGGTAAATTACTTTACCTCTCTTCACTTGTTTGTAAAATGAGTAGCTTAGCCTCAGTGACCTCTAAAGTCCCTCCTAACTCTTAATCCATGTTCCTATGATGGGAAGTTGGGGAAATGATCAGAACAACAGCATACACACTGACTGCAGCTATGTATTAGACAGAGACATCAGACAGACAGAGACAAAAAGAAAGAGAAAAAGGGAGGGAGAGAGAGGAAGGAAGGGAGGAAGGAAGGAAGGAAGGAAGGAAGGAAGGAAGGAAGGAAGGAAGGAAGGAAGGAAGGAAGGAAGGAAGGAAGGAAGGAAGAGAAAGAAAGAAAGAAAGAAAGAAAGAAAGAAAGAAAGAAAGAAAGAAAGAAAGAAAGAAAGAAAGAAAAAGAAAGAAAGGGAACAGGGGAGGGGAGGGGAGAGAAAGAGGGGGGGAGGGAGAGAGAGAGAGAATGAGAACAATGTCTGGAAAAAATACACATTAAAAAAAGCTCATGATGGGAGTGGCATTCTTGTTACTATCTTATTAAAGTTAAGACATAAACTATTTCACAGAAAATAAAATAACTTCTCCTTGTGTAACTGGATAAAAGTACTGAGATGTAAGCTCCTCCTCTGCAGGCTTACTGAAAGCATCCTCGGCATGACTGCTAGCTGGCGGTATGATGGGGATAATATCCCCAAGCAGTTTTGACTTCTGCTCGGTCTCTACACTTTGGAAGACTTTTGTTCTATGTAGTTTAGAGATTATGAGTATTTCATATGGAGACATCGATTTTAAATGTCCTTAAGCTTATTTGAACCAATATTATGTCCTGGAGACTGCAGGGCCCAGTCCTCTCTTTGATAATGGTTGGATCCAGGACAGTTTATTGATGGAGTTCTGAATATTTCAGGATCTGTATTGATAGTATGGAGATGGGACATCTGTCATGGTGGAGAGCTTTGAACATAGAATTCTAGCCATGGGTCATATCTTGCTAGGAATTCAGTAGGTGATAAATGTTAATAGCCCGAAATGATGGGTTGCCCTGTCTACTGTCTCCTTGCATTGATCCCCAAGAATGGGCTCTCTAAGGATAACACTTTAGGGGTAGTTTCTGATGACAATGAGCTTGTCCGAAATTGCCATCACAGCCCCTCCCCTTTCCACAAACTAATTATTTATTATTATTACTATTGTAGATAACAATTCCTATTGCACTGGCAATACTCCTTTTTGGAAGTCCACAGAGAATAAATCCTCGTGCACTACATAAGTGACATGGTTTACTGTCCCTTACCAATGCTAGGGGAAATGAAGGCAAGGAGTTAAGCGGCTACATTAAGATAAAATATAAATTACTGGTAATAATTTATCATTATTATCTTATATTATATAATACATATTTTATAATAATATTTTATTATTAATAATAATAACAGCTCCTATTTCAATAGCATCTTACAGCTTACAAAATGCTTTCCCTGCAAAGCTGGGATAAAGTGAATGTTAGTACCATTGCAACTTTACAGTAATACATTTTACAAATGAGGAAACTGAGGTTCAGAGTACGTACTGCCTATGTATCAATTCTGGATCACAGAGTTATGCTTGAAGAGACCTGAATGGCCACTGAGTCCAAAACTACACTTTCATAGGTAAGGAAACTGAGGCCAGGGAAGCTAAGGGACTTGTCCAAGGTGACAAAGGCAGTCAGTATCCAGGCAGGATTTGCACCCAGTTCCCCTAAGCTACTGCTTTTTCCCACTGTGCTACATTGCTTCCTCAATTCAACTGAACTCAATAAGTATTTAATAAGCTGCTGTGCGCTGTGGAGGGGTGCTGAGCCTCTAGGCACTGAGGTTCAAAGACCACAATGGAAAAACCTCCCAGAACTCGGGGAGTTTTCATTCTGCACTCCTCAGTCTCTGTGGGCCTCTGTTCTTCATGTAGACAATGAGGGAGTTAACCCAGCCAGCCTCTAAGGACCTTTCTAGCACTAAATTTCATGACCCTCTAAGTTATGGGACTTGCCTTGGACATAGAAAACCAGAATCTCAGAGACAAAAGGAAGCCCAGAGACCATCTACTTTAGCCCACTTTTGAAAAAGAAATTTCTCTACAAAATAAATGATGATGATGATGAAAGAAGAATGGCATTTATATAGCACTTTAAAGTTTACAAAGTACTTTCCATATGCTATCTCACTGATTCTCACAACAGACCTGCAAGGTAGCTGCTATTAGTATCATCCCCATTTTTGCAGTTGAGAAAACTGAGGTAGACAGATGTTGTCTTTCCCAGGGTAACACAATTAGCTAATAAGTGTTTGAGGTGGGATTTGAATTCAGGTTTTCCTATCTCCAAGTACAGCACTCTAGACATTGAGGGCAGTCTATACAAAGGCATTGAGAGGAGAGATATAATGCCCTGTACAAGGTAGTTCATAGAGTGAAACAGAGAGGGAATGAGAAGAAATGGTCATGCTCTGTGCCACCTCACTGCCTAAATACCCAACCAATGGGCATCTAGTCTTTGAAGCAGCAAGGCATCCTGAAGGAGGCAGGTGGCCGCGTGTGCCAAGCACGTCTAACCAAGACCACCACCACCACCATGTCTCTGGAGAGGCTGATGGAGACAGCCCAGGACTTTGAGCCCAGGATCTTTGGGAATAGCAATGCTTCTAGTCAGGTGTCCGAAGCTGTCATCCTGGG